CCTCGGCCAAGGCGATGTCTCCAGTATTGTAGGGTAGCATAAGTTGCGCTATCTTGGAACGTGACCGAGTCGAGCCGGGGGGGGCTTCAACCGCTTGCCATTGCTTGGTGGCCAAATGCTTGGCGGCCTTTTCTGCCATTTTGCATTTTGGTACATGTTTGCCTTGCGCTGTCTTGAAAGTGCACGGTTTTGCTACGCAGCCTTTCTTGAGCTGTCGAATGCCCAACCACACGTCCCGAGTGTCGAGGTCCTTGCTCAAGGCCTCAATTATATATTCCCGGCTGTCTCGTTTCTTGCTTTTCCGGAATTCCGTGGAGAGCAAATTATACGCGTGTAGATCCTGACTAATCAAAGCCAACCTGCGTTGTTCGAGTAATTCTAGCGTGCCTGCCGATATCTTCTCCTGCGCTGGTTTGCGCGGCGCTCTTGGGAGGCTGGACAGCGAAACTCCCGCTACTGTTGTTTGGACTGTTTCCGCGGGAGTCGTGCCAGTTGCTGTCGCGATTTGCCATGTTACTTGGTAGTTGAATGTCTCAGCTTGTTCGCGTGTGCAAGGTAGATACTTCGGTCGGGGTGTTTTTGCGTTCGCGAGGCCCCGTTTGAGGCGCACGCAAAGCGTGGCCAGAAGCGGCCGGTGGTCCGAGTGGATATTCGCGGTTTGATCAGCTTCGCAATCAACGACGGCTCGTCTCCATCTGCGGCCAACGAGGATATAGTCCAGTACTTCGCGCCATTGCCAGGTGCACGGGTTACTCAAAGTGGCGCCAGGCTCTCGGTACGTGGCTAATTTTTCTGGCCGTTTACGGAACTGTGTGTTGGTAAGAATAAGATCATTGTCAATGCAGAATTTCAAAAAAAAAAAAAAAAAAAACCTCTCTGTTGTACACCGAATCTGGGTTGCGTTGGAGAGGGTTGACGTTTTCTGGGTCGAAACTGTGCTGGCCGACTACTGTTCGTTCGATGTCATCCAGTGCAATGTGTATTCTAACATTAAAGTCACCTAAAATCAACGCCGGGCCTTTGTTTCTATGTATCGGCCCCAAAAGCGCGAGGGATCAGCATAAAAATCGTATTTCTCCGACTCTGGGCGCGCGGCAGCTGGTGCGTAGACGCCAATGAGTGTCAGCTGCGTTGCCTGTTGTCTCAGTTCTAGCAAAATGATTCGGTCAGACACAGGAAATACATCTTTTACGTACTTACAATGTTGCTTGCTATTTACAAAGCCAATTCCTGTCGAAAAGTGCCGCGCTTGCGTCGCGCCTTCCCCGGCGAAGTACCAATGGTAATCTTTGCGGGTTTCCCGTGAATTTGTGCGAATATGAGTTTCTTAACTTGCAGGGACCGGTACTTCTTTCTGCTTCATCCACATTTCAATTTCGTCTATTTTGCCAGCCTGTGCTAGTCCCTGGACATTAGCAGTCGCGATGTGCAGTTTGTTTCCAAGAGACAGCGTTCGCGTGCGCCGCCAAAACTCCATAAGTGGAGCGGCGGGAGGATACTGGGCCGTAGCCCGATCCTGTTGACCTGAAGAACACGCTGCGGAATTGGTCCCTGTGTGTCTATGTGATATGCTTGCTATGCGTCGTTTTTCAGTGCGTGCGGCTTTTCGCTTTCGCACGGCCGAGCTGCCCCCTATGCCGCGATTCGCGTTGCGAGGGCGGCCTCGTTCAGTTTGGAGGGGTGCGCGGTTCCGGGGTTCTGGTCTCCGCCGGGCAGAAGCCCGCGGCTGACCCGCTGTGCCACGGAAGGTGTCACATGTAACGGTACCCATCCCATGTAACTGTTGCATGCGTGACGATTGTGCTCCGGGGTTGGGTTTCTGCCCGTCCCCGGCGGGCGTGGTGCGGAATGTGCGGGCTTCTGCCCAAGTCCGCGGCCCCCCAGGGAGTGCCGGGGCTTCTGCCCCGCCCCCCGGACGGCCCAAAAGTTTGATTCTGCGTTCGCAATCGGAAAAAATGCGGCGGTGAATCGCGAGGGGGGGGAGGAACAATAGGGGTATCCAGTATGGTTCCTGACACCTCGTGATTCCCTGTGGCGTCGAAGGACCCCCGTGAGTTCTCCCAAGTCCCTGCCTCTCTACACGCATGGCGATATTGCAATAGAAAGGGAATGGAGAAGGTAACAGGAAGGCAAGATGGGTGATCAAGATCAGAGAGCGATTCCTTTTCGGACGTACGTGTTCCGCACGGCGGAAGGACGACAGAGGCGGATGAAGACGCGTCGCCGCGACCGCCGCGCCCTGCCCTGCTGTCCTGCGCCAGATTCGTCGGAACTGCGGGGTGCCTCTGCTCAGCGGCGTCGATAGGGCGCCCCCCCTTCAGTCGCGGCCCCGGACGGGGCCTAGGCGCAGCGACGGATCGATTTATGAGGGGGGGAAGAAGGCCGGAGGGGAGAGAAGGGCGAGAGGGGGGGGGCGAGGGAAGAGCGGGAAGGGGGAGGAGAAAAGAGGGGGCGCCGGAAGTCTGCGAGACCGGCGCGCGCTTGTCAGCGCCCGCGCGGGGGCTTGCCCTCGGCCCTCAGCGGCTCCTTCTGGCAGAGGAACTCGATGTCGAAGAAGAGGGGGGTGTCCGTGAGCCGGTCCTGCAGGAAGGCCTCGAGCGCCTTCCCGTCGAAGCCCGCGCCGGTGGCGTCGCGGACGCACGCGCTCATGATGGCCTCGCTGGCGTCGAAGAGGCCCGTGACCGCGACAACATCCTTGACCATGACGCTGAAGTTCGGGTTCTGGACACTGTAAGTCCACTGGGTCTTGATGTGCGCGCGGTCAACGCCCGCCTGCTGCAGGCCGGAATAGCGTGCCTGCGGGATAGCATCCACCAGCTTCTTCGTCTGGCCTCCGGTGATCCCCGCCTTCATGCCCGCATGCTTGGCAAGATCACGTAGCTTATTCTGGGGATTGCGGCTCTCACTCCAGATCCTGGGCCCCGCGAGAACATAGCTGCCGCCGGTCCATGCCTTCGAGAAATCATTCGGCGAGAGCTTCTCGACGATGCTCTCAGCCTCGTCGAGGAACTGCTTGATGCCACGCTCACGCGGCCCGAGGAGCAGGACGCCGGCATGCGCATTGTCAAGTTTCTGCAGTGCTCCCTGCAAGCCATGCACCTGAATCTGCAGGCGCCTCGTCCTGACCTCCATCTCGGCGATGCGGCGGTTCTCCTCGCCCATTTCATCGTCCTGCCCAGTCGCCTCGCCCGCGCCGTTGCCGTCTCCCTTGTGGTCTCCTGTGGCTCCGGCGGTTCCCCCGCTAGCGAGAGAGTGTCCGGCCGTGTCCAGCCGGCGGCGAGCTTGCCGGTCGAACTTCTCCGGTTCCGTCTCGTCCGCCGAAACCAGTGCCTCAATGAGGCATGGCGCGGCCTGCGCCTACTGGATCACCCGGTCGAGCTCCTGCCGGCGCGAAGGGAAAGCCATCAGGTCCTTCAGGAGGTCTGCGGGGTAGTCGGTGCCGTGCTCGCTGTGCGCCTGGCGTGCCGCCAACATCTTGGTGAGCCACTCCTTCTTCGGCATGCTGGCCGCCATGGCTGGGAATGAAAAGGGGTGCTGGGGCGGAGCGCGAGGTGTGCGTGTGTATATATATATATATATTCTTCGCGAAGATTCAGCAATACATTTGCGCGCCATAATTAGGAGCCCGAATAAAAAACGCACAAAGGGGAGTTCACACAAAAAGGGTTTTATCACCACCAACGGTGCAGCGCATGTGCACACATGCCACTGGATCCCCACCGATCCGAACCAGGGTTGATGCACGGCCGTGTTCTAGGATGCAGTTGGCATGTACGGCGTGGCAAGGCTGTCGGCGGCGACAAGATCCCAAGACCCGCTACCAACAAACATTCCACGGTCATCCGTTGACAGCCGCACGCGTCGCGGCAGCTGAACGCAGTAGCGCGCGCGGGCACGCAGGGCCGGCGATGTGGCTGGCCAGCTGCCAGCGCGCATTCGGCAGAACAGCCGACATGCACGTATTATCGTTTTGGGCGTGGTATCCGGCGCAGCTGCATCGCACTGCCAGGCGCCGCGGCCTTGCGATTGTAGTGCCAGGCCCCGCGCGCCCCTCGAGGCAGGAAAGCAAGCTCTACACAAAGGAATCGCGCGTGCTTTTGTGGGGGCGGCGAAAACGATCGTACACAAAGGCAATTCGTTTGCGTGCCCCCCGCGTTGGCAGTGTAACCGGACCGCACACAAAGGAATTACGCGATACTTCGTGGCGCACAAAAGAATTACAGCAACGCCCTTTGGGTTGCGCTTTTCGCGCGCGGCGACAGCTTCGAGCTGAAAAGGAAGGGGGGGGCAGGACAAGGCAAAGCAGGGAAGAGAAACAACGAAGAGAAAGGCGAGAAAGAAACGAAGGAAGCAACGGAAGGAAACCAGGATGCGCGCAAGCGAAGCTAACGCTGCGCGCCGAGACAGTTGTTCGTTCGTTCGCTTGGCCGTGCGGCAGATGAATAGAAAAATAATCGTTTGCTGCATATCGAAGGGACTTCTTGGGAATTAGATTCGCGTTCTCTTCCCAACCCCCTTTTCCCACGCCCCGTTGCGAGCGCGCGACGATTTGTTCTGGCCCGCGGGCGGAGGACTGCCAGTTGCTGGTGAGCGGCCTTTCCACCCGTCACGCGTTCCGAACAAATTCGACCAGCTAAACGCGCTTGCCACGCAAACCGCCAGCTCCAAACACCGACGCCACCCCGATCCCAGCATCCGTGCCAGGCACCCTCTCAACGACGCCCCCTTCCGGCGTAAAGCCAATAAAACCCTTTGTGTTGATGTGTTTTTCCAGTTCTGAATACTGTATTGCGCACCCAAAACCCATTGCAACCCCTCAAACCCATTGCACCCAATCTGTTGCACCACCCTCTTTTCGCTGGACCCCCTTCTGGGTCAACCAGACCCCCGCTCAGAGGGGATCCCCTGGAAAAGCATACCAGAACCGCCCTGAGACGCCCGACGCCCACCAGAAGGGCCGCCCCTCGCCAACCTCCGGCGGGCCCGGATCCCAGGCGCGCCTTCTTGGCGGTGGCGGTCTTCAGCTCGTTCTGCTGGCCCTTGGAGGTGTCGTCGCACCTCCGACCCAGGCACCCCGTCGTCGCGCCGGCGCCATGCTGCCTGAAACCCATCTGGTCACACGGCCGCGCCTCCAGACTCGCACCATCTCCTCGTCGCCCTCCGCCTCTTCCTTCTCCTTCTCGTCCTCTCCCTCCTCCTGCTCCCTCGACCTCAAATATGTTTCATCCTCGTCGTCGTCCTCCTCCTCCTCCTCCCGTTTCGTCCTGACCCCAGCGGTGTGCCCGAACGGGACACCGCGCCACTGAGCCATCGCCTTGGAGGCGACCCAGCGGCGGCTGCCGCATACCAGGCAAGATATCCCTACGAGGCTTACCTCAGGTCGCGGCCAGGCGTCGACGGAGCGCCTCGACGCGAGTGTCGCCGCGTCTCCCTCACACGAAGCGTGTGAGGGGTGTGCCGAGGACCGCATGCGGGCTGCGCCACTGGGACCTCCGCTTGAGCTCCTTATGGGGTCACGAAACGTGTGAGGGTGTGAGGACCGCATGCGGGCTGCGCCACAGGGACCTTAGGTGGAGCTCCCTATGGGGTCGCGAAGCGTGTGAGGGGTGTGCCAGAGACCGTATGCGGGCTGCGCCACTGGGACCTTGGTTGGAGCTCCCTATGGGGCCGCGAAAAGTGTGAGGGGTGTGCCGAGGACCGCATGCGGGCTGCGCCACTGGAACTGAAGTTGGAGCTCCCTATGGGGTCACGAAACGTGTGAGGGGTGTGCCGAGGACCGCATGCGGGCTGCGCCACTGGGACCGAAGTTGGAGCTCCCTAGGGGGTCACGAAACGTGTGAGGGGTGTGCCGAGGACCGCATGCGGGCTGCGCCACTGGGACCTTAGGTGGAGCTCCCTATGGGGTCACGAAACGTGTGAGGGGTGTGCCGAAAGAGGCAAGGAGGGGGAGGAGGGAGGGGAGGGAGGAGGAAGGAAGGAGGAGGAGAACGCGGGGCGCTGTCTCTTCAAAACGAGGACCCAACACCACAGGATGGTTGGGAACAAGCGGTGACAAACACACAACTGACCAGGGACCGAACGTCCTGGCATTCCTGTAGGGCTATCACGACACGTTTTTAGAAGCCAAAGATGTATTATCAGAACAACAACCATGTTCTTAGAGCATGAGCCCGAGGTGTTAAAACAAGGCAATCCCAACCAGAAATGTTCTAAGAGCATTCCGTGGAAACAACAAGAGGTTCTTGGAGCATTATTTGGTGGGCCTATAGGCGAGCACGGACGCTTCGCCACTGCTCGACACAGAGCTCGGTCAAAAGTTTGGCCCGGTGCTTGGCCCCGTTGGCCCTGCCAAATAGGCAGAGGGCTTGAGGCGACTCGCTGGAGGCGCGTTCGTCCCCCAACTCGATTGTCTCAAGAATCCGCAGACAAGCAGCTCGAGACGGTGCTCATTTTTTTTGAGGAGGGACGCTGAGGGGACGAGCGGCCACCAGGCAGCGACCCGCCACGCGAGCGTCAGCGACTGCAGCGAGCCCGAAGACAGCCCCTGCAGGCAGAACAAAAATCAAGAAACGTCCACGAACTCATATCCTCGAACCTGCCCGCCCATCCTGCTGGCCAAAGCTTGAACAGGGACCGACCATCCCGGCGTTCCTATAGCCCTACCACGAAATCTTCTTAGAACCCAGGAATGTTCCAAGAAAAAACAATGTTCTCAGAGCATTGACCCGATGTGTTAAACCAAGACAGCCCCAGGCAGAAATGTTCTAAGAACATTCTGTGCAAACCGCAAGAGGGTTTTGGAATATTGCTTGGTGGGCCTATAGGCGAGCCAGGACGCTTCGCCACTGCTTGAAGAGCCAGTGCTGGGCCACCTCAGACCCCAAGCTGGCCTCGAACCCCTCGCGGGGCCCGAGCGCACAGCCCTCCGAGCTGAGGCTGGCCGTGGCGACGAGGTGGCCACTGGAAGACCAACTGCGGCAGGTTCGCGCGGCGCTGGCGCGCGCTAACACCGCGTCGATCGTCCAACTAGGGGGCCACTTGCGAACCCTACCCCCACCCCCCATGATCTCTGCGGGGGAGGGTGGGGTTCACTGCGCTCGGGAGCTCCCGCGCGAAGTGAACCCCGCCCTCGCCCTCAGGAATCGTGGGGGGTAGGAGTAAGGTTCGCATGTGGCCCCCTATCAACCTTAAATCGATCGCGGCCCCGATCGTTCGAGGTTGAATTCAAGCGGGTCCAGCGGCGTAAATTACTGTGTCCATCCGTGCAGCCGCGTCGCAGGACTCAACCTTAAACGCCTTCGCCAACGTCGCCGGCGCGCCAACGGCGCATGAACCTAATTACCGTAGCTGCCGTTGCGTCAACTCGCCGTCCTCTGATCGTCGGCGTCGACGCCGTCGTTGTCGTCGGTGCCCTCCAGTGGACGTTCGGAACGATCCGATCCGACCACCCCCGGAACGCACTCGGAGCGAGGCGCAACCGGTGCAAGGCACCCCGCGTCTGGAGGCCCGCCGGCCGCAACGCAAGGAAACCTCAAACGTACAACTTGCGACTGGCACACCTCTGGCCCCGACTGGAGCCCCGCTCCGCCCGACCGGAGCCCCGCTCCCCCGGGCAGGAGAGCCCAGAATCGAATCGGCAAGTCGAATCGGCGATCGACATGAATCGGATCGGAGGACATCGGCAGCCAGATCGGGAAGAGCCGAATCGGCGGCCAAATCGGCAGAGTGGATACTGCGAGGCGGGGATCTATCCATATCCACCGCCTGAGAACCGACGTCCTGGTGCCCCAGCGGTCGGTGGATATGGATACATTTCGGCCCCAGGGGGCCCGAATATTGATATGTACATATATATACATATATATATATATATATATATATGTGTGTGTGTGTGCGTGTGTGTGTCCATATCCACCGCATGCCGAGGCTCCGAAAATTGACCCTCCAGGCGGTGGTCATGTATAAATTCCCGCCTCGGAGATACAGCCGGAATCCAGGCCGGAATCCGAGATCGAATCGAACCGGAACTGGAAAGTGTCGAAATCGAGCCGACTCCGAAGCGGGAAAAAATCGAACACAGGCCCTGCCCGGGTCGGCCCCACCACTCGACGTACTCCCGGAAGGCCTTGTCCTCGGCCTGGCGCGGGGCGGCGCCCCCCCGCCCCCCCGCGAGCATGCAGCGCGGGGCCCGCCGCGCACGTGCGCGGCGCGCGGGGCCGCGCGCCAGCCGAGCCCCCGCCCACGGAGCAGGGCCGGGCGCCCAGCATCAGGTCGATGTCCTCCCGAGGGAGGATCCCGGAAGAGATTGACAAAGAATCGTCAAGACCTAGCCAAAGAACAACCCCCCCCCCAAAGAGCCCTCCTTCCCAAACCAGCCTGTGGTGCTGGGTCCTGTTCCTGTTCCTGTTCCTGTTCCTGTTCCTCCTCCCCCTCCTCCTCCTCCTCCTCCTCCTCCTCCTCCGCACCTCCTCCTTCTCCTCCTTCCTCCCCCTCCTCCTCCTCCTCCTCCTCCTCCTCCTCATCCTCCTCCTCCTCCTCCTCAGTCTCCTCCTCCTCCCTCCTCCTCCATTATCTTCCTCCTCCTCCTCCTCATCCTCCTTTGGTGCTGGGTCCTCGTCTGGAAGAGACGGCGCCCCACCTCCCTCCTCCCCCGAATTCCTCTGGCGCATCCACTTGTTCGAGCCGGGCGTCTTCGCCCAAATTCGGACCCCGGGACCCTTACAAATCGACCCGGCTCGAAAAAAAGATGGCGCAGAAAGATGGGGCCCAGGGTCCCAGCCGTGCTTTCTCGCGACGTCTCGATTCCTCGCGATGTCTCAGCTTCCTCGAGACATCGGATCTCGGGGTCCCTCCTCATCTCGGGATCCCTCCTCCTCCTCCTCATCCTGCTCCTCCTCCTCCCTCTGCCTCCTCCTTCTCCTCCTCCTCCTCCTCCTTCTGCTCCTCCCTCCTCCTCCTCCTCCTCCTCCTTCTCCTCCTCCTCCTCCTCCTCCTCCTTCTCCTCCTCCTCCTCCTCCTCCTCCTCCTCCTCCTCCTCCTCCTCCTCCTCCCCATCCCCGCCTCTGCCCTCCGCGTGTCGATGTTGGCACACCCAAGGCGCGCTCCTTGGCCCCATCAGGAGAGCGCCACCGAGGCCCCCGAGGGGTGGGGACACGTGCGGTCCCCCAGCCCATCGCATCAGTTCTGGCGAGGGCTGCTACCCGGGGGGTGGGAGGTGGGAGGGAGGAAGGAGGAGGAAGGAGGGAGGGGGAAGGAGAGAGGAAGGAGGAGGAGGAGGAAGAGGAGGAGGAAGAGGAGGAGGAGGAGGAGGGAGCGGAAGAGGAGGAGGAAGAGGAGGAGGAGGAGGCGGAAGGGAGGAGGGCCCCCCAGGTCACGGTAGCGCTTGGGCGGGGTGGGGCATGTCGGGGCAGGGGTGCGCTGCGCTCGCCACAGTGTGCGCGCGAGCACCCAATAGTTTGTTCCCTCTGCTTTAGCCTTCTAGTATATCCCCACAGTGTGTGCGCTGCGTTCTCTCCGCTGGCTCATCCCAATATGATGGGCCTGTTTTCCACCACCACCACCACCACCATGAGTTGTAGGGGGAGGGGGTCCTCCTCCTCCTCCCCCTCCTCCTCCTCCTCCTTCTCCTCCTCCTCATCCTTCTTCTGCCCCTCCAACTTATGGCGGTGGTGGTGGTGGAAAACAGGCCCATGACAATTATCGGTGTCGAACAGTGCCTGCCTCGTCGGAATCTGTATTTGAACGCCTCTGTTTCGAAAATCGGTTTTCAGTGCTAGACGCCCAGGCATGCGGACGCATCCAGTTTGGGGCAGCAGAATCTCTCTCTCTCTCTCTCTTTCTCTCCCCTGGGACTCCCCGCTCGTCTTCGTGCACTGTCTGGCCATCGCTCGGACATCGATTCCCTGTGTTTGTGTCGGTTTCGTGCGTGGCTCTTTTGCCAAATGATCAAGGATGCTCCTCGATGGTCCTCGCCTCCACAGCGCCCCAGGAGCCCAAGAGGCCCTCCTGGGGCGCTGTGGAGGCTCCCAGGAAAGGCCTCTTGGGCTCCTGGGGCCCTCTTGGAGGCATCCTCGACCGTCTTGGGTGCCTCTCTGGCCGTCTTGGACGCAGTGGAAGCGCAAAAGGCGAACACGTCAAAAACAGCAGTTTTCCCATAGGAAATCTACGATGTTTGCTTATATGGGTCTCTATTGGGGTGCCTCTTGGGGCGTCTTCGGTGCCTCTTTTGGTATTTTTTCAGGTCTCATGGGGGCCTCTTGGGGCTTCTTGGGCGCTTCTTGGAGCCTCTTGGGGTCTCCTGGGGGTCTCCTCGGCCAAAAAGCGCGAATTTCCGGTTCCTCGTCCCCGTCTTGGGCGCCGCCTTGGGGCGTTCTTGGGCGGCCTGGGCGCCTCGTGGGCCGTCTTGGCCCCTTGTGGGCCGTCTTGGGGCCATCTTGGGGGCATCCCCGACCGGCTTGGGTGCCTCTTGGGCCGTCTTGGACGCAGTGGAAGCGCAGAAGGCGAACACGACAAAAACATCAGTTTTCCCGTAAGAAATCGACGATGTTTGCTTATGTGGGTCTCTATTGTGGTGCCTCTTGGAGCGTCTTCGGGGCCTCTTTTGGTGTTTTTTCAAATCTCATGGGGCCCCTTTTTTTCCGACGGAAGCTGCACTGGCGGGGTCCCGCGCCAGAGACACAACCGCCTCGCGCGCACTTATCTGGTCGTTTGCCCAAGGATGTGCGCGCAAGGTGGAGCGACCAGCTCTTGGAAGTGAAGAAATGCATCAAATTCACTGGGATGACCGCAGGCGGACGTCACCTGCAAGCCAGCAAAGCAGCTTGACGCGCTCTGCCGTTCGTTTCTGAGCATTCGAACGTTAATAATGAAACTCGCACTGTGTCCGGAGCTTCTCCTGAACTGCCTGGCAAAAAGTCCCCCTACCTAGAAGCATGCCAAGCCGAGCGAAACCGCGCTAGAAAAGGCACTGGGAGGGGGAATGGGCCCACCTCCATCCTGGAGCGTGTAATACACGTAAGACCAGGCACAAGGAGGAGGCAGGGGCAACCTTCTACCTGGAGCGTGCAGTGACCAGAAAATGCATGCCGAGCCCAGGCCCGAGGGAGAGAAGGCAGAGGAGGCTGAAACACGGGAGCAGCAAGCTCCCTGTTCCGGTTCCTCCACGCGCTGGCCGAAAGCCATCTACCCTATCATAACTAGATTCACATTACATCAACTTGAGCAGGCAGGCGCAGAAGGCCGCGCACAAGAAGCCTTCAGGAATCTGCGGTGCACTCGTGCTGCTCGGGCGACCATCGAGGCCGCTCCTTGTATAAAACAGGGCTGTGGCCCCGCCTCGCCAGAGGCTGTAAACGTTGGTCCTCAGCCGCCCAAAAAAATCCGTGCGATCATTCGGCCAGAGAGCAGGCAAACAAGCTGGGGCGCCGATCGCGCCACCTCCTTCTCCTCCACCCACCTCCTCCTCTCGTGGACCTCCTCCCACCACCATCAGCCTATGCGCCAAAGGGGCACGAAATTATTAATGCTCTCTATCAATGTGTACAGGCGGGTGGCCCCCGTGCCGACTACGTCCCCGTCCCCTCCCCCACCACACTTTCTCCCCCCCCCCACCGGATGAGCAATACGCAAATGGCTTCAAGAGCTCCACGCAAGGGTCCCGACGGGCCAGAACGGCCCCCCAGACGCTCCAAGAGGGTTCCACGACGCCCCCCCCAAAAAGGCAGGAAGACACAAAGAAAATGTGATTCTCTTGGAGACATCCTGGGGCCCCCTCGGGCTGCCCTTGGGCCCTCTTAGGCGACGTTGGCAACGACTTGGGTTTTATTGATTAAAACCTTGTTGGTCTGGAGCAACATGCAGCAAGCAATGCCTGCGGTGCGAACGACAATGGGTCCCCCTACTATGTGCGGCTGTATCCCACTGCCATCTCACATTTCTGCAGAAAGCTGCGCGCCTGGTAGGTCTATCAGGTCTGGTGCGGCTGCAACTGCATCCAGGATGAGGGCTGTCGTGGCCCAGGTTGGGGATTGCGGCTGCATAACCTGCTCTGGACAGACAATACCCGACTGAACCAGTAGGGAACCTCGCTCCACGATGCACGTGTCGCGCTGTCCGCCCTCAGTCGCAGCAGTGTCCAGAGAAGCACGGGGCACATAGAAAGAACCGACGGTCTGACACTTAGGTCGGACGACGGAAAGAGCGACTCCACACGTAAGGCTTATCAAGAGTCGCGCGAGCCATCGTAAGGGGAACGGAGGGACGCGGGAAAGGGAAGACGGGAGGCGGGATAAAGCAGCAAGGAGGAAGAAGAGAGGAGAGAGGATAAACTGGGAAAGAGGGTCTTCAAATGCGGAGGAGCCGAGGCATGTCTTGCACAAGGTCTCTCGTTCTGCCCTTCGAGAATGCTGTGAAGGGTGGGCGCTCATGTGCACAGAAGTCTCAGAAGACCTGTAAAACAAATTACAGGCATGCTGGGGGAAAGGACCCACGCAGCAGCCTGTAGTGTGGCTTGAATGGCAACCAGATGCTGCCGCACAGCGCCCCGAGGTAGAAAATTACATTGAGTGGTGATTGACGGAAGGAGTGCTGACATGAATTCGCCTCAACGGCGGGCTCCTTTTAGAGCTTTGTTGTCGACGGCGTCAAGAACTTCAACCTCCTTAACTGGTATTTGTGCAAACTGGCTGGGATGTTGGCATATCTCCGCCCAGCACCTCTGCCTACGGGAATGGCAGAGGTGGCCGAGCAGGGCAAGGCGAGTCCTATAGACAGTCTTGCAGACTGGGCAGGCGCCGCTCGCAGCATGGGAAAATCTTTGAGGGCGCCGTGCTTGATCCAGCGGTGCCGTGCGAGCTGCTTGTGGGTGTGCAAAGCCACGCCGCAAGCATCGCATCGAAACTTCCGACTCGCATCACCGTCGTCCAATCTAGCGGCCCGAACGTCGCAACACGAATCGGAGAAGTGTACACGATCATGTATGTTCCTGATGTTTATGAGCGGTGTCGGAGGCCTCGCAGGCCGTGCAAGAGTGTGCATGCAGCGCGGGGCGGAGATCAACGGAGAAATGCCCATGTGGAGAGAGGCAGGGAGGTGGAGGAGAAGTTGGCCTCGGAGGGAGAGGAGAAAAACGGAAGGAAA